CCCGGGTCGACCCTTTGTGGGGTCCCCGCGATGTCCCCAACGGCCGCGCGCGCCCCGGCAGCCGCCCCGCGTGGCTTTCCCTCCCGGCGCTGCTCAGCCCCGGCGCTGCCCGGCCGCGGGTGTTTAGCTTGGCCCAGGTGCCGAGCGCTCCCCGCCTCGACGCTCCGTTTATTTTTCCTTCTTTTTTTACGTCCCTTGTTTTGCAGCAGCAGCAGCAAATGCCCCGTAGCAGCCAAGAGGAGAAGGATGAAAAAGAGAAGGAAAAGGAGAAGGAGGGAGAGAAGGAGGAAGATAAACAGGACGCAGAAAACGACAAGGAAGAACTGGCCAAGGAAGCGGATCCCCCCGCGGGTCCCCCCGCCCCGGGACGCTCCCCCCCAGCCGCCGAGCCTGGCGCGGGGCTCCCCGCGGCCGCCCGCTCTCCTCCTCCCACGCAGAGCCTGCTCTCCTGCTTATTTTCCTCCCCTCCCACTCCCAAACCTAGAAAACCACACTCTGATGTGCTTTTATTTTTTTAAAAAAAAAAAAAACATCAAAACCTGCAAAGCCATCCTGGTCCCGGGGCTTGTTTTCCTGCGGCAAGAGGCTCGGGGAGGTGGCGAGCGCAGCCGAGCGTGGCGCTTCACCTCCGGTGTTACTGATGTCAACGTGAGAGCTTCCAGATCAAGGGATCCGACCGATTTTATAGCTGCGCCCGCCTCGCCGCCTGACACCATCATAACTTAGCGGGGAGCGCCGGCGCTGCGCCGGGGAGAGCTTGGCACGCGGGCCGCTCGCTATCTGTAATGGGCTTAATACTCGGTTTAAAAGAACATCTGGCTTCATTATATCTAGGCTGCGAAGACATTTACCAGCAGGTCCCTTTCAGGAAGATAAATGAGGAGGAGGCAGTGATGAATTTGAATGCCCTGATATTCAACCTGTCTCCATCAGGTCTCTGCATGCGGAGCTGCAGCGTCTGCAGAAAGCGAGCTCTGCCACCCAGGCCCCCCCGGCCCGCTGCGTGTGCAATAAAAAGCACAGACCCCCTGCCCAAAAAGCCCGGCCACGAAACCCAAGCACAAGCAGCACAAAAATCTCTTGGCCCAAAAACTAGGGCACTTTCCGCCCAGTCATTCCCTCCCTCTCTGTTTTTGCAGGGACAAGAATGACGACACGTCCGGGGAGGACAACGACGAGAAGGAGACGGTCACCTCCAAAGGTCGCAAAACCGCCAACAGCCAGGGCCGGCGCAAGGGCCGCATCACCCGCTCCATGGCCAACGAAGCCAACAACGAGGAGGCGGCGGCTCCGCAGCAGAGCGCAGAGCTGGGTGCGTAGGCGCCGCGGCGCGCGCGGGGACGGCGCGGCCTCGCACTCCGCTCCCTGTCCCTGTGTCCCAACGAGAGCCCTCGCTCGCAGCACCGGTAGCAGTTGCCTTTGGAAACTGCACGTGTATTTGCCTTAGAGTAGCAAATGCATCAAGGCATTTGCCCGGTTTTCCTCTATTTCCCCTGTATCGAGGACAAAATTATTAGTGCGCTACCAAAGGCAAGTACAAATAAAGGCAGGGTGACTCCTCTCGCTTCCCTTCTCTGCAATTTCTTGCCTTTTCTGTTCCATTTGCTATAAATCACACTGAGGTGTTTTGCCTCTCCGCTCCTCTGCTGACAACTGGCTTGAGCTTTGATTGCGAGCGCTCCGCTTCGTACAAACGATATAAATAGTTCCCGGCACCGCGCAGCCCTGATCTCCATCTCCAACTTGTTAAGCTGTGCTGCATAGAAGCAGCAGATAATGCCAGAAATTTAGATGGGATTTTTTTTTTTCATCCCAGGATCTTAGGGACCTTGATAAACTTCACCGTGAGCAGGAAGAAAAGGCTTTTGACAGTGTTAAATTGGGAAGAGGAAATGGCCTGATTCCAGTGACATATCTAAGCAATTGGTTACACTTTATGTCTCTCCAATAGTGCTTTAATTTAGGTTGGCTAAGAAAGTTATTGCATTTTAAATACCGATTGAACATTAAAAAACAACACAAAACCATATTGTGGTTTAACTGCAGCATGCTGGAACTCCCAGTAGGCATCTGTTACATAACTGCGCAACCTCAGTAAATATCATTAATCAAACCAAATAGGCCATTTCTTTGACATTTCTTTACCATGCAATAACAGTATCTTAAAGCTGAATTAAGGGCCTGGCGGAGCGCGTTGGGACGCTTTGCTCCAAGCAAATACCCGCCGGATCCCTGACCCTGCCCGGGGCTGGGGGAGCTCCGGGGGTATCGATTTCCCTGCGCTGGCCGAGCAGTCGTGTGTTGGCCGCGCTCCCAGGGGACCGTGTTTTTGCTGGAGGAAGTGACCTGTGCTGACTTACACGAGGTGACACCTGCGGTTCTGCTCAGCCGGCTGTGAAGGAGATTCCTTCTCTGGCTCCTGAGTACCTGGCGGGTCGCGGGCCTCCCGCGGGGTCTCTGCTTCTTTTAAAGCAGCTTGGAAGATGCTTCCTTCTTGCCTCATCCGTATCCTCTACCCTAACCTATCGACCTGTGTTCCATTTTAAAAGGACACTGTCAAAACCTCTCTCATTGCTGTTGAAATAATGCTTTGCCTGTTGTTTAGAGTAATAACCCGCTGGCAGCGCGAACCGGAAATCTGCTTCCTTACCGAGCTGTTTTTTGCCGCTGACTCACAGCCCGGTTTGTTGTTGTAGGGTTTTGCCAGGCTGCTGGCAGGACGCTGGCGCGGCGGCCGCTCCGCGCGGGGCCCCGGCGTCCCCGGCGCGGGGCCGAGGGACCGGGAGCGATAGGTGCTGATGCCCGTGTCTTCCTCTCCCGTGTGCCCTGCGAGCAGCCCCGTTGCTCTGGGGCCCTGCTCAGCTCCCAAATCCGCTGCGTCTGAAACGTCCAAGCGCCCGGTGCCGGCACCCGCTTGCCAAGGGACCCGGGGGTCAGCCCAGCTGCCCACCTTGGTGGCCAGTGAGATGCACCTTAGCATCAAGGTGGCTCCGTCTCTCGCAGCGGGATGGTCCCACCCAGCGTCCGTCCCCTCCAATGCGTCGGCTCCCGGGTCGGTACCGGCAGGGCACGGGCAGAGCGCAGGGCCCTGATTCAGCATGAAACACCCTGCCGCCCTCGGGCCACCTGGCTCTGCTGCCAAACCCAAAGAAACCAAAGCAGAGGCTGTGTGGGCTGCTGGAGCACGAAAACGCTGCGAGTCCCTGCTAGAAGAGACGGGGCCAGGGTGCCCGTCCCTCCGCACTGACCTCTCCTCCCTTCTCTCCCTCCAGCTTCTCTGGAGATGAATGAAAGCTCGCGCTGGACAGAAGAAGAAATGGAGACGGCTAAAAAAGGTGAGCGGCTTGTTTGTTTCTCCTGTTGGATTCCATGGACCCAGCTGGGGAGGTGGCGTCGGAGCGTGGGAGCTGGCGCAGCTGAGGGGCTGGATCCTGCCATGCGGCCAGTTTGTCCCCAGGAAGCTCCCTGGGAGGTCCAGGGGAGACGGGAATGGCGTGAAGCTCAATCAGCCCCAGGAGCTGTGCTGGCACCATGGATGTTGTATGAACTCGTGGGTGCTGTGGGCACAATGAATGTTGTCTGAGCTCCTGGGTGCTGTGGGCACCACGGATGCCATGTGAACTTGTTGGTGCTGTGGGCACCGCGGATGTTGTCTGAGCTCCTGGGTGCTGTGGGCACCATAGATGTTGTCTGAGCTTATGGGTGCAATGGGCACAATGGATGTTGTATGAGCTTCTGGGTGCTGTGGGCACCACGGATGTCAGAGCTTGTGGGTGCTGTGGGCACCATGGATGTTGTGTGAGCTCACGGGTGCTGTGGGCACCACGGATGTTGTCTGAGCTCCTGGGTGCTGTGGGCACCATGGATGTTGTGTGAGCTCACGGGTGCTGTGGGCACCACGGATGTTGTCTGAGCTCCTGGGTGCTGTGGGCATCGCGGTTGCCGTGTGAGCTTGCGAGTGCTGCAGAGCCCACACTGTGGAGAAGCTCAAGGGGTGGCAAACGGGGCAGCCCCTCCACGAGCTCCTGCGCAGCTCGTGGTGACCGTGCGACGTCCATAGCGTGTGTGGGAGCCACTGGACCCCAG